AAGTGTGAGGAAGCTCAGTCCCGTTGCCAGCGCCCTCCTGGCAGTCACCATCACTGGGTGAGGCTGCAGGAGAAGCGAGAGGAGGGTGTGCAGGTGTGACACTCCTGCTTCTGTCTCTCCGTGTGGCTTTGCTGTCCGTGCTGCCTTGGTCGGGAAGGCTCTGGTGACCCCGCGGTGCCTGCGTTGCATGGCTGTGCTCCCGGGAGAGGCGGGGGGCTGGACAGCAGGGGCAGCTCCCAGGGCCTTGGTGGCTGTGCACCTGCACTGGGGCCAAGCAGGAGCTCAGAATGTGTTGCTGGCATTGTTGTACTCGTGATTTTTAATTTCCTGATGGCCCTCTTGGCTGCAGCTCTTCTGGCTGTTCACTTCAAGCCGTGGGTTTTTTGCCCTCAGTTGTGAGGATCGTATTACAGGGTGCTTTGACCTCGGTGGCAATTAAGCAAATGACATGAGATTAAATTAAATGGAGCGACTTCTTGAGCAAAAGGTGAGCCAAGGAGTAAGACAGAACTGAGGGGTCCGTGCTGCACCATCGGAGCGGGAAAACCGCGCCTAAAAAGATCCCCTACAGATCCCAGAACTGAACTCATTTCATTCCTGACTGAATATTGCTTCAACATGCAGCAAATGGGTCAAACCTGCTGCTAGAATTCCTGGTCTTGCTGGTTCCAGCCCTGCATGTCCTGTAGCTCTGCCATCACCCAACGTTCCCAGCCAGCACTGTGGGACATGTGGGAAGGCAGCACAGGTGCTCAGCCTTAAACACCAGGTTTTTCAAAGGGGGAGCTCACAGATCCCCCATTTTCAGTCTTTCAGTGACAGAAATTTGACACAAATCTTGAAAGAATGTTTAACCCCCTAAGTCACTCACCCAGTAGTGGGAAAGTTTTGCAGTTTTCAGTTTGGGAAGTTTGCCTGTGTGCCTTTCATTTGGCTTTCTGATTGCCTTACATTGTGATGGAGGATCTTAATGTACAACCCCATCCTGCTTTCCCACTGCATTCCCAGCTTGTTTGGAGTAAGACTGGACAAGGAGAGGAGCTGCTGCCACTGGCACTGCTCATCTGCCACAGGAATGCAAAGCTGGGCACTGGAGATGGCAGTGAGAAACTGCAGTGGTTTAAGGCTCTTTTGCAAATCTGGATTCAACCTACCTGGCACAAATTTCACTCCAAAGAATGATGCAGCACTGGCCCTTGCAGTTTCTTTGCATGTTTAACTCTGGTGTCCATTCCACAACTTTAAAGAGGAAATACTTTAAAATTTCTTTTAAAAAGAAAAAAAAAAAAATCTTTAGGAAGTTCATTTAAAGAGGAAACTCCCCAGAGAAGCTGAGGCTGCCTCTGCATGCCTGGAAGTGTCCATGGCCAGGCTGGACAGGGCTTGGAGCAGCCTGGGATAGTGGAAGGTGACATGACAGGGAGTGTGATGGGCTTTAAGTCTCCTTCCAACTCAAACCATTCTGGGACTCTGTGTTTATTTAACCATTACTCCAGATCTGTCTTTACACTGCTCCGTTCATGCCTTCTACCTTTCTCTGAAATCCTTGACATTAGCTGGGACTGACTGGGGGAGATGTGGCATTCCCTGTGCTCCTGCAGAGATACTTGTGTTTGGAACAGGGTGCTAAGAGACAGGGTTCCTGAAATGAGCTTCTTCCTCCAGGGGCCGGTTTCGCTGTTTCGTACTTGTGGAAGGAAATCACTAATATTTTGAATTATTAATTTAACTTGACTTTGCATTCAAACATTTTTCATGATCCCAGTGCATTACTATCAAGTCTGGGAACATGCAAAATTTTTCCAGAGAAGCCCTGTGGATGTTTTGTGGGTCCGTGTCAATTTTGTTCAGTTTGCACATGTTTGAGCAGGAAAAACATCTGTCCTCACACGTGCCTTGGAAGATGGCTTTGGAGAGTTGTAACCAGAAGTCTCCCTTCTGAAATGTATGTGATGTCAGTATTGCTTTCCCTGTCATCCCCACTCCCCTCACCACCCCTGCTGCAAAGAAGGAAAAGGTTCAAGCTTTTGGGGTGATGTTAATCATCAGGTATCAGCTATTGTGGCAAACCCTTGCCTTGTTTTCTGCCTTGCTGCAAGCTAATTCCCCCCAGATTTCCATGGATGCTGTTGAAAGTGTTGGCTCGGAGGCAGTCACCCATGAGACAGTTTCTGACTGTGTGGCAGGTACAGAAAGGTTTCCTTGCCCTCTTGTCCTGATTTTGGTGATTCCTGTGGGGCAGTGTGGGCACAGTCTCTCTACAGAGCGTACGACGGGGAGCTCACACTCTTCTTGTCATGGGTGGATGAGTATTTGATATGGGATTGAATTTTACAGAACAGCAAAACCATGATTGTGTGTTATTTCTGGCTATGGTTATTTTCCTGGATTGAGTCCTTGAGGAGCACCTCAGTGGTTTGTGGTGTCGGGCAGTGCCAGGCTGGTGCTTGGGCACACTCAGCTCCAGTGAAGTTGTCTGATGTGCTGATCTCTGTTGTTATTTTATCCCTGAGAGTCATTTTCCTGTCTGCATACCCCAGAAATGAAGCAGTCTGTTGATCTGGTGGGAACTGTGCTGTGACTCACATGTGTCGGTGCCTTTTGCCAGGGGCACCACTTCTGGCTGTGGAGCGATCCTCAGCAGGACAGGGGTGCTCCAGTCACAACCGTGCTGCTGCCAGCCTCCAGAAGTGCAGTGGCCTGAGATGGATTTTAGGAGCTAGTCAGGCTACAAATTCTGCTTTATGAAGGAATTTGTTGCTCAGAGGGGTTTGGATGTGCTGCACTGCTGGCTCTGTGGGCACAGAGATCACTTACAGGTGGAAGGCAGGCTCGGACCAGGAGGTGGCTGCTTTTGGGAATGATATGATCCTCTCTGCTCCCTTCTCAGGGGCAGTTGTGCTATCAAGGCTGTTGCTGCATATGCTGGGATCTATATTTTATTATCAAACTTCTCCCTTTAATTAATTTTCTCATAAGGAGTTCAGGCTCTGCATGGGTCGAGCCCTCAGTCTGACATACAAAACCTTAGGAAGCTTTAGGGCTCATTTGGTCACTGTTCATAGACAATGCCCTATTAGTTTGATAAAGTATTTATCAAACAGCAGTGAATTCTTATGAGAAGCTCTTGGTTTTTCCAAATCTGGTGAGCAAGGTGCCTTGGATGAATTTCTTTGTGCAACAGGATGATTGCATGGTGAATATCGAGCACGTTGTCGTAGTCACAGGGCAGAGGGAAAGGTCAGGATTGTTTTTCCCCCTCAGAAAGGAGCACATCACTACATTTTGCCTTTCATGACTGAGGCACCTCTTGAGTGCCAGCTGTGGCTCTGTGGCTTTTGAAGAGCTGGGCATGGTGAGAGCCTCTCCAGCCACTCTTCAGGGGACTTCCCTGGGTCTGATGCAGTTTTTGTGAGGCACTTAGGGCCCTGACACCTTCTAAAAACTTTGGAGATTTAGAAAGAAATAACCAGCTGCCAGTCCTTTCCGAATGGTTCTTCAGGTCTGACATAAAGCAGCCCCAAAAAGTATTAACTCTTGTGTTTTTTCAATGACTTTGCAAATAAAGTAAAAACTTCCTCAGCATTCCTAGTTTGTTTATCAGACCAGACAGACTGAATCTGGTATCTCTGTCCCCATTAGGCAGCAGCTACAGGGTGTGCCATGGTGGCCTTTTCCCACAGCTCTGCTGTCACAGAGCAAACCCTGGGGTAACTGCGCTCCCTGAGCTGCCTGGGAGCGCTCAGGGTGGAGTGGGGTTACTCTGGAGTAAGGAGTGAGGTGGTTGCCCATGGCTGAGCGCCTGGTGGGGTTTGTTTGAGGAGCCAAGTACCTGGGGAACTGGCTCTGCTCTGGATGTTGTGGCTGACCGAGTGCTGCCAGTCTTTTTCCCAGTTACCTGGAGATAGTTAATTTTGTCCTGTTTTCCTGGATGAAACTCCATGCCAAATGCTGGCTATCCACAGTGAGCAGCTGCTGGGGTGGATCCAGGCAGATCTTCAGAACTGACATTGGTCACAAGCTCGGGGAGGAATTATGAGCAAGACATGATCTTCCTTCCCTTAAAAGTCAATTCTTCCCATGAGCAGGCAGAGCAGGGAATACACGAGGGGGAAAGTTGGGGTTCATTTAACAAACGCCAAGCCCAGACCACAGAGACCCAGCAGGAGCTGTGCCAGGTCCCAGCAGTGTCCCCACCCTGCGCTGTCCCCAGCATCCCCTGCCTCCCCCGCCGCTCCAGGACTCCCTGCATGAGCTCTGAGCGCCTCCCGAAGCTCCAGCAGAGCTGTGTGTGGCTGTCCCTGCCCAGCAGTGTGCAGTCTGTCTGTCTGTCTGTCTGTCTGTCTGGGTGCATGTCCCCAGCACGTCCCCAGCCAGTGCGTGTGGTGGCCGTGTGGTGCTGGGGGACACGAGGTGACGCCTGTGCTGCTGCTGCTGCCTGAGGGATGTGCTGCTCTCAGCACCTCCCTTGCCTTCTCTCCTGGTCCTGTCCTTGCTGTGCCCTTCATGTCTGTCCAAGCAGCCTCCCCGTGCTCTGCTCCTGCAGCAGATCCCATCCCTGCCCGGCTGGGCACGGCCCCGCTGCAGGGAGCCACTCTGCCATCCTGGGATCGGCTCCTTCCTGTGGGACAGGGAGCCTGAGGCCTGCAGCTGTGGGGAGCCACGACCTGTCCTGGCAGCCCCAGCCTCCTCTGACACCTGCAGATGGCATCACATCCATGTCCCCTCCTCTCAACAAGCTGCTGGCTCTTCCCATCTCTGCCTCCTGGAGCCTGGCTCTTCCCCCACGGGAATGAGAGCTCTGTTCTGAGGGCCCTGTGAGGTGCTGAGGCTCTGCCACCAAAAGGAATGTTCTCCACAGCTTGTTCCTGTGGCACCAGGAGCGCGCCCTGGCAGCAGCACCTCCCTCACGCTGCAGGTCCCCTAGCTCACGTGGCCCTTTTGGGTTTGCTTTGGGTTTTCCTAGATGTGAAATCCACATATGGATTTTTTTCTTTTAGATTCTGAAAATGAGACCGTCAGCGACTGACACGTGGCCCCCACAGCTACGGTGCCAAGCGCGAGGCCCCGCCACAGCCAAGGAGGAGGAAGAGGAAGATGGGAAATGATTTATCATACGTGAGGAATTCTGTGCTGTTCTGGTCCATTCAACACTATTTTGTAACTTCTTTCTAATCATTTTTTTATTTATAGTTGGAAATACAAAAATGTTATGCAATAAAAAATAAAGGAGAATTATTTTGGGGGAAAAGGATTTTGTTCCAAATTGTTCCCTTCTGTTGTGAGCCAGGTTTCCTTGAGCAGCAGATGGAGAAGAGGGAGGAGGAGGAAGAGGAGGAGGCACTCCTTCAAATGCTTTTTGTTTCACACAGTTAATTGTCATTTAAGCAATTTTCCAAGTGATAAACTAGGCATACATACAAGAAAGATAAGTTCCAGTTCCATTTAAATTTCTCACAGTTCTTTTTTAAAGATGAGATTCTATTTTAAATCCACTTAAATCAAGTAAAAAACCTCCGGATCCTGCACCGGAGAATGATTCTGCTTGTCACTTCCCTTTTTACCTCTCTCTTTTTTCTCATAGACCGGCCACATTTTCATGCCAGACTTAAATACAGTCTCGAGTCACTGCTGATTTTAAATGTAAGACTGAAATCCTTCCACAGATGAGTGGGTAATTGGAGCCATTTTTAAGACTCTAAAGTGCCTTCAATGATCTAAACCGATGCAGTGGGGGTTTCTTTCTCTGGGCTCACTGGAGCTGGGTTTCAGCTGTCTCCTGGACTGAGGTGATGGACAGAGCAGTTCATAGCAATAATCTCACGAGCAATCATTCATTTATCCAAGGACTACTCACCTGGTTTTCAGACAGCTGGGTTAGCACTGTCCTGAGAAGTGGGAAAATGCTGCTCCTGCTGTTACATCTGGGCCCCAAAGGCTGTGTCCCCACGGGCCCCCCCTGCCCCTCTGCACTCCCAGCCCAGGCTGTGTCCACGGCGTTTTTGATCCCAGAGCCGCAGGAACCTCCCCAGCCCGGCAGCCTCTCGGTACCACCCTCCCTCGCAGCTGGAGCCTGGCCTTCTTTTTTGTTGTTATCTGCCATGTCTGTCTCTTCCAAATCTTGGTTCTAAATAATAAATCTTATTTTGATGCTGTTGTTCCCTATTTCCTTTTCACCTTGGCCCCTCCTGTCCACCAGCAGGGGTGAGGAGAGCTCAGGTGGAGGTACATGTAAAGCTCCAGAACCATTCAAACACTTGCTTAATTCAGAGTGTTGAAGCCCCAGGGCCAAAATATACGTATTTGTGTTAATTTTCTGCTTCTCTGGGGTGCCTCCTGCACTGTCCTTTTCTGAGGAAATGGGATGGATCACCTGCACAGGAGCAGGGACTGGTAAGTGCTAAATCATTGCTGGTCTTGGGCTTCCCTGCTCACAAGAGGGACCAACCTCTGTCCCTTCCCTAATGGGCAGGAGAAGGGGGATCCAGGTGAGTGGGAAACCTTCCTGTTTCTCTTTTGGCAGTTCTCTTTCCCATGGCTGGGAGTGCAGCTCCCTGCTGCATGGAGGGACAGGGGTGTCGTGTCCCCAAGGTGCTTCTCCAGGGATGAGCCACTACTCCAGTGATCACAGAAACAAAGCACTGTCCCCTCATCTCAGATTTTTATTCCTGAGTTTAAAAGATGGTTTTCTCCAGGAAAGTCCCTTGCAGGGTCTCCTGGGGTCCAGGACTTCCTTCATCAGTTGTTCTGAACCTCTTCACTGCTTCTACAGACCCTTGAGCTCCTCCACTGTTGCAGGGAACCAACGGTCCTCTGACTCCAGATAAGAATTTTATAAATATTCTATTAATATTCAGATTAAAAAGAGGGATTAGTATCAGGATTAAAGCTCAGGAGTGGAAGCTGCAGCAAGCCCTGGCTGGTGGCTGCTCCCCATGTGGGCCCAGCCCACTTGGCTTTGGATAATCTCTCCTCTGAAGGGCTGCTCCCTCTGGGAGGGTACCCCTGTGTTTGCTCCTTGCTCAATAGTTTGGAGCTGCTGAGGGTTCCTGAGCTCCTCTGGGATGAATCACTGAATGGGATCCTCTAATTCAGCCCATGATTCTGTGAGGGGGAACGGGTTTAAACTAAATAAGAAGAAATTTAGATTGGATATTAAGACGAAATTGTTCCCTGGGAGGGTGGGCAGGCCCTGGCACAGGTGGCCAGAGCAGCTGTGGCTGCCCCTGGATCCCTGGCAGTGCCCGAGGCCAGGCTGGACAGGGCGTCGAGCACCTGGGACAGTGGGAGGTGTCCCTGCCATGGCAGGGGGTCGAAAAGGATGTCTTGTAAAGTCCCTTTCAACCCAAACAATCCTAGGATTCTGTGGTCCCAGTGTTTCATCCCAGCCTCTCTGCTGGAGAAGAAGGGATGTGAGTGCTGGGGCTTTATGGCAATGGAAAGAAATTCCTGCAAATGTTGAAAGCACAGCTTAGTTCCCTGTGACTTCAGGGGCTACTGAAGCACTGAAGTGTTTGGGTGGTGCTGATTTTGAGGGGTGGGGAAGATTGGAAAGGCTTCAAATCCCCTTTTAATTTGTGCAGTTTCTGTAAGAGTCTGGAGAATGTTTATATGGTTTATTTTCTGTGCAGTTTCTCAGTGCTTTAGTGGTGCGAGCAGGAGAATGGAAAGTAAAAGAAGGAATACATTTGGTGAGAGACTGATGGGACACTTGAGGGCACGTGGAGATGTTTCAGTCTGCTGGATGTTTAACAAGGATTCCAGGGGCTTGTAAGGCAGTCATGGAAATGCAGAGCCAGTTAAAAATACACATAGCAGCACCATTCTCCAATGTTTGCTGATGGCACATGAGCTGCAGGACTCAGCGGTGTGTGTGCTTTGGGAGAGGGATGGCAAGGGGACTCCACAGCGCTCTGCAGCCCTAAACCTTTTGTTTGGGGGCACTTTGGAAGGTAACTCGTGTTTGTTATCCTTGTTAAATCAAAGCATGCATTGTTTTTCTTTAAAAACCCCATAATTTTGTGTCAGTGGAGCTCTGCGTTGCTGTGCTGCCTATTGGTGGCAGAACGAACTTTTTGTATCCCAGTGCTGGCTGGTGATGCAGGGATGGGAGAAGACACCCTCCTCCCAACACCCTCCCTGTGGGTTTGCTCTCACACCTGCAAAGTGATGAACACCCTGAAAATTGCTGGCAGCGCCCCGTTTGCTCCTGCAGTAGGATTCTAGGAGCATATTTCTATATTTATTTTATATTTATCCAACACTGAGAGATTATATGAAGAAGCTGACAATTAGCAATGCAGAAAGAAAAATATTCCTGTTTACTGATGAGCAAAGACAAGTAAAGAGACATGCATCTTGTAGAGTTCAGCAGTTGGAGACTTTTATTTGTCCTTTTCTTTTTATTTCCTTGCACCTGCTGGAAGGTACCCCTGTCCCTGGCATGGGGTTGGAATTAGAAGAGCTTTAAGGTCACTTTCAACCCCAACAATTTTGTGATTGTATGACTATTCTTCACTGTTTTCCACCACCTCTTATTACAAAAGCAGACAAGGAAAATTGGTCAGAAATCACCTGCCTGGATGATTTCTCCATGGGAAAATGAAATTGTGCAAAGCAAACTCAAATGCTCCACTTCAGCTGGGCAGCTTTCCTGTGTCCAGCTGCAGGTGAATTAGAAGTGCCCAGAGTGGGGCTGTGCCCCTGTGCCAGCGGTGTGGGACCCTCTTGGACTCTCAGTCACCTTTTAATCAGCTCTGAGCTGCTCTGAGTCACCTCCCTTCTCTGGGTGCTTCATCTGCATTCACACACATGCTGGGAAAATGCTTCCATTCCATGTCCTGCTCACAGCACTGTTTATTTTCTTTATTTAATCTCTCTGGGTAAACTTCTGGCTGTGCTCAGTGTCAGGAGCTCAGGCTGTGGTGACAAATGCAGTGTCCCCAGGAGGGATGGCCCTGTGCTGGCCAGCAGTGGGTGAGAGCATGGGGGGCTCAGCTGGACCCCAGTGTGGGGACAGCCTGAGATGATGTTTCCCAGAGGAAAAAGCAAAGTTCCCCCTTTTTCTTTCCTCTGCTCCCTGTTCTGCAGAGCTGGAGCACCTGAAGGGGCCATGCCCACCCTGTGGGAGCTGGGGCTGCTCCGTGGGGCACAGAAATCATGGCTGGGGCTCTGGGCTCTGCAGGTGCTGCACCCCTGTGACAGTGCCAGCTCACTGCTGAGCCTGTCTCTTACCACAGAGTGAATCACAGGGAAGGGCTGAGAGCAAACATGGAATATTTTATTGTCCTTTTTAATCAGATCTAGGACAAAATCCTCAAGATGTGGGCTGGAACCTGGAGCATTCCCCTGTGCCAGGCCAGGCTGGGAGCTTGGGACAGGCAGGGATGCAGCATTCTCTTACTGGCCTGTAACTATTCAAATCTCTATTTTTTAAGAAACCTCTGTGTTACATCCTGGCTTCACAAGACACTGCTGTTCCCAGCAGTTCATGAAACAACACAGACATGCACGAGCTGCCCAAACCTGCTCCCAAACACTGATTTTAACCAAGGACTGGAACCAGAGCATTGAGTACAGCAGTGGCAGGGTGGGCTTTTCTGGGTGGGCTTTTCAGGGTGGGTTTTTCAGAGTGGGCTTTTCAGAGTGGGTTTTTCAAGGTGGGTTTTTCAAGGTGGGTTTTTCAGAGTGGGTTTTCAGAGTAGGTTTTTCAGGGTAGGTTTTTCAAGGTGGGTTTTTCAGGGTGGGTTTTTCAGGGTGAGTTTTTCTTGGTGGGTTTTTCCACTGCCACCGAATGGCTGGCAGGCCGGAGCTGGCTCCCTGTGGCAGCAGCCCTTGGCTCTTTGTCATGGTGATCAGCAATGCTTCGCTGTTGTCATGGCTGCGGGGTTACTACTGAAGCCAAAGCACTGCACAGCCCCTTTATTCATAGTTTCAGTGTATAAACTAATTAAGTCAACTGAAAGCAGCAGTCTGTTCCCCGTGCCTTGTTTTTCTAATATGGGGGATCAGATAGACCTGATTCCTGCTGTCCTCCAAAACATCCAGTCTGACTCCATTTCACCTCCCTGGCTGAGTTTTGTGCCTTAACACCGAGCAAAGTTCACTGATTATTTAATTATCCAGAAACTTCCTTGCAGAATGGAAAAGGTCTCTGGAAAATGTCTTTTGAGCTGCTAGGATGAGGCTGAGAGCCAGTGTGCTGCAGCTGTGCTGCATTCCTTATCACTGCTTTACTCGGGGCACGAACCCGCTCACTATATTTAGTTTCTGAGTTTATGCATCTCTGGGTAAAAAAGAAAAATGGCAAAAGGGCTGGGGGAGGATCTCAACAGAGCTCCTCACCCGTGCCCCAGGATGGGAGGGTGGGAGGATGGAGGAGAACCCCGCTGCAGCTGGTGGGCACAGTGTCCCCTCCGGCCAGGGACACACACAGCCTCATTTTTAATTAAAACTTCACGTAAGCAGAGGCTCTGTGGGAGCCCCAGGAGCAGTGGAAGGAACTCCACTGTCCCTGTGAGGGAGCAGAGCCTCTGCTGGGAAAGGGTTTGGGAGATCTGGTGTCCCCACTCGTGTCCTGGGCACTGCTCAGCTCAGCAAAGTAAAACCAGACAGGGACCCTAAAAATCCTCTTAGGGCTGCTGTGGTGTCTCCCAGGAGGGCAGTGCCAGGGGGGCAGCCCCTCACCACCCTCCCAGGAGATGCAGGTGCCATGGACCTTGTCAGGGTACAAAGGGAGCTGCAATCCGCACTCCTGTCCCACACGGAGCTGTTGGCCATGGCAAGCACAGGGGACATGTGCCCCTTCCAGCCCTTCCTTGCTCCACAATCATGCAGCAATAATTGCTTTGGTTGCTTTCTTAACAAATATTTTTACTCTTAATCTCGTTTTGACAGAATATTTGTGGGGAGTAAACACAATGAAGGCCCAAATATAACAAATCTGTGAGTGGGAGATGATCTCTAGCTCCAGCACCAGCTGGAGCTCGTGCCCCTCCAGGTGCCACAGATTCACTGCTGGCAGTGTCCTGATACAGGAGGTGTGAGATTTGGGACGGGGCAGAGGCTGTGTCCTGCCCAGCAGAGC